AGTTGAATAAACAGAAGCAAGATTCAGGTCACAAACAAATTCTGCAACAGCCAGGCAGGTAGCTACAGGATCACAATCAGAATCTAGGTCAGAGACAGGCAAGGGTTGGCAACGTGCTTACATTGAGGTATAAGATCAGTAGGCAGAATCTTAGTCAAAAGTCAAGGCCAGGGTTGGTAACACAGGTCAGTAGCAGACATAACAGGCAGGGGGAATCCAAAGAAAAGTGTCAGACCTACTCAGCTCAGAGGCAAGATCAGCAGATTTTCAGTTTATCTTACTGTGTAGTCCTCCGAACTCCTCAACATGTGCTCCCCAGATTGCTCAATGACCGGTCAGCAAATACACTACATACAGTCCTCATGCACCTCATAAGTGTAGTTTCCTAAGACTTCCACTATCTAACTACATCTATTTGACCTGGCATTCTAATGGCTAAAGGTTTCACCCATTGTAAGACCATTTTGTAGTTCCTGGCCCAAGGTTGTGTAAGGGCATGAATACTGCACCCAGAAAAATGGTGTGCTTCACACTTTGACAAAAGCTGGGCAAAATAAGCAACAGGCCTCATGCACACAGGGTGTTTATTTAACCCACCTGAATGCCTTTCCTCCTAGCTGGCTATTAAGGAGCAGGCAGCCTGCTGACCGCCATGATCTTAACAACCATAACTTATCTGCTGTCAGTGGGATTGCCTGCTGACAGCAGAACCCAAACAAAATAAGTACCGGTGAAAAAAAACAGCATGCCCCCGGCCCCTAATCCATACCAGGCTCATCATGTCTGGTATGGATTTTAATGGGAACCCCTTGCCAAAGTAAAAAACGGTGTGGGGTCCTCCACACAATCCTTACCAAACCTTTATCCAAGCATGCAGCCAGGCAGGCCAGAAAGTGAAAGCCCCCCATCCCAAACCTTATCAGGCCACATGCCCTCAATAAGGGGGGCGTGCTTTGGGGAGGGGGCTTATTGGAATCTGGAAACCCCCTTCAAATGCCGACTGACAGGTAAACATGGGGTCGGGGTCATCAGATGACGTCACTGGATGACGCTGACCTATTTTTACCTATAGTTGGTGTGTGAGACATGGGAGTGGACGTGTTTGGTGAGCAGCGTGATTTTTTTTTCCTCGTTAGGGTCAGTGGCTGACGTTTATTGTGATTGACATTGTTTCTATATTGTGGGACATTTATTTATGTATATTTTAATAAAGGACTTTTTTTTACTTTTGACACTTTTTGGGTGAATGAGTAAGGGTATTATGTACCCCATACCCTTTCACATGTGGGGGGGGGGGGTGGGATCTGGGGGCCCCCTTGTTTAAAGGGGCTTCTAGATTTTGAAAAGCCCCCCCACCTGCAGGCCCCAACAATCACCCCCCAGGGTTGTGGAGAGGAGGCCTTTGTCCTCATTAACATGGAACAAGGTGCCTTGGGGGGAGCCCCCTCCTCCAAAGCACCCCCCAATGTTGAGAGCATATGGCCTCGTATGGTTCGCAGGGAGGGCGCACTCGTCCTCGTCCTTTCCTGGTCTGCCAGGCTGCATGCTTGAATAAGGGTGTGGTATGGATTTTAGGGGGACCCCATGCCATTTAGATAAAAAAAATGGTGTGGGGGTTCCCCTAAAATCCATGCCAGGGTCTTCGGGTCTGGGGTGGGGGGACCCACACTCTGTTTTTTGTAATTTTTTTTTTTAATGAACCCTTTTTTATTTACCTGCTGCTATCAGTGGGCAATACTGCTGACAGCAGATGAGTCATGGTTGCTAAGGACGTAGCGGCTGCTAGGCCACACGCTCCTTTTCAACCAGCTATTAACTAATCAATTTGGATCATTTGTTATTTCAGATGCTTAAAACATTCGAATGAAACGAATGAATTTCATTGTTTCATTATAACTTATTTCAGATTCATTGAAATGTGTTACTGTTTTAATGAAACAAATCACACATGTCTATCATTAACACCCAAATGCGCCTAGTGCTTAGGTGCGTTTATATGAGTTTGGCATGACAAGAATTTTTTCTGCTCTTCAACTCCTGTCTGTCTCCTGAATGTGATTTAGATGGTTTTTTTTTTTCAGCCTCTAAATGCTCCTCTTCTAATACCGCTGTAAACACATACTGTATATGTGCATGGACACAGATTAACATAAAGGTGCTTTTACGGGTTAAAAAAAACTCACCAAATGCTTTTAAAAACATACACATATACATACATACATACAGTACTAGACATTTTATCCTAAGGCCTTTATAGATAATTATAGCATATGAAATACATAAAACATTTGTGTGCTCTTATCTTAATGATTGGAGCATTACAGCATAGAGCATAGTCTATAAGAATGCCTTCCTATGGTCTCCGTAGTGCAATCTTCCATCTTCACATATTGATCAGAAACAATGCAAGCAGACAAGTAGTGGAAAAACTGCAGAAGGCAAATACATCTGACAGTCTCTCACAGAACAAACACCTTCCCAACACAGCAATGTTTTATGTCATAGCTCATAATCCAGATGTCCCAGAGGATATGGGGGATGAATATGTTTTTAGGTATGTGGTAGGAATGATGGTAATTCTGTACAGTGAACTAAACATGTTGTCAGGACTGCTAAATATCACCAGTGACCCTTAGCTCTTGTTACTTGGTAGCATAGATCCTCAAATCCCATGGACTGTGAACTAATCTTTATTCTAATTTGCTGTGCTTACCATTACCGTATGACCTAGTCATGTGAATAAAGCATGTATATGTTAACTAAAGCAAGTGGCATCTTCCTTTATATCAATGCTTATGGTTTACTGTGGTGGAATCTTTTCTGCAGTATATTTAAAGCAAAACTCTAGGCAAAATTATAACCATACTTTCAGATATATATGTCTGTGTGTGTATGCGTGTGTATGTATATATGTATATATATATATATATATGTGTGTGTGTGTATATATATATATATATATATATATATATATATATATACATAGATAGACCAAAAGAGAAAGCAGCACCCACAGGTCTTGAGAAGTGAATGCACAGTGAAGATTTTATTTTGACGTTTTGATGAGGCACAAGCTCAGTTCACCTCTCAAGACCCATGAGTGCCGCTCTCTCTTTTGGACTATATGCACTACGGGCTTTGCTGCGCAACTGGGTCCATTTTCTCTCTGATACTGGATTTTATATATATATATATATATATATATATATATAAAAAAACTATATATATACTGTATATACAGTTGTGTTCAAAATAATAGCAGGCAGACATCACTAACCTGATCAATCACTGTTTTTGGTAGAAATGATATTTCTACATGGCAAATAATTTACTAGCAGGTGTAGTAGAGTAATAGAAATCCAACAGACCCAACAGTCATGACATGCATGCTGCTGATTCTGTGTAATTGAATCACTAATTGAAAGGGGCATGTTCAAAATAATAGCAGTGTGGAGTTCTATTGGTGAGTTCATTCATTCTTTGAAAAACAGGTGGCAATTATTGCCCTTATTTAAGGAAGGAAGGCAGCAAATGTTGTACATGCTGGTTACAGTGCATTTCTCTCTGAAATTCTGAGGAAAATGGGTCGTTCCAGACTTTGTTCAGAAGAACAGCATACCTTGATTAAAAAGTTGATTGGAGAGGGGAAAACATATAAGAAGTGCAGAAAATGATAGTCTGCTCAGCTAAAATTATCGTAAATGCTTTAAAATGGCAACCAAACCAAAGACGTGGAGGAAAGAAAAAAACTACCATTCGAATGGATAGAAGAATAGCCAAAATGGCAAGGACTCAGCCAACAATCAGCTCCAGGAAGATCAAAGAAGGTCTAAAGTTACCTGTGAGTGCTGTTACAATTAGAAGACGCCTATGTGAAGCCAAGCTATCTGCAAGAAGCCCCCGCAAAGTCCCACTGTTGAAAAAAGACATACTGAAGAGGTTACAATTTGCTAAAGAGCACATTGACTGGCCTAAAGAGAAATGGCGCAACAGTTTGTGGACTGATGAAAGTAAGATTGTTCTTTTTGGGTCTAGTGGCCGGAGACAGTTTGTTAGACGACCCCCAAACACTGAATTCAAGCCACAGTACAGAGTGAAGACAGTGAAGCATGGTTGCGCAAGCATCATGATATGGGGATGTTTCTCGTACTACGGTGTTGGGCCTATTTATCGTATACCAGGGATCATGGATCAGTTTGAATACATCAGAATACTTGAAGAGGTCATGCTGCCTTATGAGGAAGAGGAAATGCACTTGAAATAGGTGTTCCAACAAGACAATGTCCCCAAACACACCAGTAAACGTGCAACATCTTGGTTCCAGACCAACAAGACTGATGTTATGGAGTGGCCAGCCCAATTCCCGGATCTTAATCCAATAGAAAACCTGTGGGGTGACATCAAAAATGCAGTTTCTGAGGCAAAACCAAGAAATAGAGAACTGTGGAATGTAGTCCAATCATCCTGGGCTGGAATACCTGTTCACAGGTGCCAGAAGTTGGTTGACTCCATCCAACACAGATGTACAGCAGTTCTCAGAAACAGTGCTTATACAACTAAATATTAATTAAGTGATTCAAAGGAAAGCAAAAATCAAACATTTTTCAGTTCATATAGTGAATGTTTGAGTTTGTAAAGAAGAATACAAACACTGCTATTTTTTTGAACAGTCTAATATTCACTTTTCTTCATTTTTTTAGAGGAACAACACAAATTTGATATATTGTTATTCATGTTTTGATTTGGAATAGAATGTGTAGTGTTCCCAATGCATTTGTGTGTATGGAAATAAAAGCTATTAGAAGGATTTTGAGCTTTATTCACTTTTTTCAACACACTGCTATTATTTTGAACACAACTGTATATATATATATATATATCTATATATATACACACACACACTATATTGCCAAACGTATTGGGACAACCCTCCAAATCATTGGATTCAGGTATTCCAATCACCTCCATGGCCACAGGTGTATAAAATCAAGCACCTAGGCATGCAGACTGCTTCTACAAACATTTGTGAAAGCATGGGTTACTCTCAGGAGCTCAGGAAATTCAAGCTTGGTGCCGTGATAGGTTGCCATCCATGAAATTTCCTTGCTACTAAATATTCCACAGTCAACTGTTAATGGTATTATAACAAAGTGAAAGCAACTGGGAATAACAGCAACTCAGCCATGAAGTGGTAGACCACGTAAAATGACAGAGTGGGGTCAGCGCATGCTGAGGTGCACAGTGTGCTGAAGTTGCCAACTGTCTGTAGAGTCAATAGCTAAAGACCTCCAAACTTCGAGTGGTCTTCAGATTAGAACAACAGTGCGTAGAGAGCTTCATGGAATGGGTTTCTGTGGCCAAGCAACTGCATCCAAGCCTTACATCACCAAGTGCAATGCAAAGCATCGGATGCAGTGCTGTAAAGAGTGGAGCCAGGCCTTCTCGTCCGACATGAGTGCCTGACCTCACAAATGCGCTTCTGGAAGAATGGTCAAATGTTCCCATAGAGACATTCCTAAACCTTATGGACAATAGCTGCAAAGGGTGGGCCAACTCAATATTGGATCCTGCGGACTAAGACTGAGATGCCATTAAAGTTCATATGCGTGTAAAGGCAGGCATCCCAATACTTTAGGCAATATAGTGTAAATAAATATATATATAGCATCACAGCCCCCTCCCACTGTTAGTATCCACACCCTATGATACCTCAACCCATTAAAAAATTTCTATTGACATTAGTCCCCCAGGTCTATGTAGAAGAAAATAAATCAGGTAGGGCATTGTGGAACTTGCTACCCTGCCTGCCATACATATTTCTGGCCTGAAAGCATTGCTAAGCAACACAAAATGATTAAACTGCCAGCCTGGGCTGCTTCCGGTTCTGCTTCCGCTGTCTAGCAATACCAAAACAAAGGTTGTCAAAAACTGGTTGTAAAAGAAAACAATAGTAGTAAACCCAACCATGGCACAAAGAAACTTTTCAAATGTGACCAAACACAAAAAATATCCATCAAAGGGAAGACAGTATAAAACAATAACAGAGCAGTACACAATGGCATAAGGTAATTACCCAATGTGCATAAAAAGAAAAAAACAACAACAAAAAAAAGAAGATAAACACAAAAGATAACATTTAATATGAGACACCAAGTATAACCCAACTACAAAAGACAATTACATAAAACTAGTTTATAAACCCAAAACAACGTGAAGGAAAGGGGGGTAAGTATCTGGTGTTCAAGGAGATGAGGCCACACTGACCAATCTGGTTGGACTCTCAAATTACCTCTGTGCATTACTGCCTACCTGTATTATAAATTGTTCTGCTCCAGAAGGAATGTCAGCTGATATACATGTTACAAACTTTATCTCCAAAGGGTCTTAACAAAGCAACTCAACTTTGTTCTAATAGACTATGACTTACATAATTGGTCCACCTATGCTTTTTTGGATATTCAGTGTTGTTTAGTTGCACGCTTAAAAAGCAACAGAGCCCTGACTAACCCAGGGGGCTGTTCACCTTTTTTCCTAACCAAAGTTCTGCTGTGTTTGTTGTTATAGGGGGGTGATTTCCACAATGATTAAGGTACATGTGTTATTTGTTAAAATATATTCAACTACCTTTTTTATGGATAGGTAACTGGGTTAAATTGTATTTTTTTATATTTGCCTGGACCTCTACAACAGATAGGGATGTTTTCTGACCAAAGTTATTGGCCAAACTATGTTGCTGCTGCAGTGGAAGTAAGAAATTTGACAGTTGTAAGTGGCAGATGTGCCTGGAGCACAAGGCTGGCTGTACAGAATTATACATTCTTTGAAAGGTGAAACATTTCCCTTTGATGTTTTCCAATTGAGTATTTGTCTTTTTGGCTGGAGTTAAGCTTTAGAAACCTTATTTCTTTTCAGAAATTTGAACTGTATGTACACATGAAATAACCACCTTTGTTCATTAAATATGTAAGCTGTGCTGTTGGTTTAATAGCGAATCATGATGTTAGTTTCTTTGTCATGGTTAGTGTCCAGACTCTCTGTCGCCAGTGGTAAACACATGGAATATAAGGAATGTATGATCCCGATGCCATAGGGCAGTGGTGGCAAACCTATGGCACACCTGCCACAGCGGGCACACAGAGCCCTCTCAGTTGGCATGCGAGTCAAGTCACCCCAGCAGCCGAGCATCAGCTCACACAGGGGCCATGCGCATGTTTGGAAAGGAGTAGTGGCACCAGGAAATGACGTAAAGAGCCGCAACTCATTAGCCACGACACGTTCGAGCTATCGCATGGCTGGTCAGTATGCTGCCAAATATATATATATATATATTATTATTGGATTGGCTGTGAGTTTTAATACATTTGTTTTTATTAACACAAGATTTTAGCTTGTGCTGTTGGTCAGTGGAACTTTGCCCCTTTGTGCTGGTGGTCAGTGGAACTTTGCCCCCTTGTGTGGTGATCAGTGGAATTTTGCCCCCTTGTGCTGGTGGTCAGTAGAACTTTGCCTCCTTGTACCAGTGGTCAGTGGAACTTTGCCCCCTTGTGCTGGTGGTCAGTGGAACTTTGCCCCCTTGTGCTGGTGGTCAGTGAAACTTTGGCCCCTTGTGCTGGTGGTCAGTGGAACTTTGCCCCTTGTGTGGTGATCAGTGGAATTTTGCCCCCTTGTGCTGGTGGTCAGTAGAACTTTGCCCCCTTGTGCTGGTGGTCAGTGGAACTTTGCCCCCTTGTGCTGGTGGTCAGTGGAACTTTGCCCCCTTGTGCTGGTGGTCAGTGGAAGCTCTGTTATTGTGTTTTTCTTTTAAGACAAAAGATGTTGATGTATGGGTTGTTTTTTCTAAACTAAAACCTCAGTATTCAGGTTTAACTGCAATGTTGGCACTTTGTGCAAAATAAGTGGGTTTTGGGTTGCAGTTTGGGCACTCAGTCTCTAAAAGGTTTGCCATCACTGCCATAGGGTATGCCAGTTTGGCAAAAACTGACACTGCAGACAGGTGGCAAAAGGAAAATACCAAACTAACAGATGCAAGAGAAGCACATAAAGCCAGTAATGAACATTATCTAAGAGGTAGAGACAGTGTAAAAAAGTGGTCAACATCTCTTGTCTGGCTTAGGCTTCTTAACCAAGGATACATGGGGTTATTTTGCCAATTGAATAGTGACAACCTTTCTATCTGATGACAGGTTCTTTGGGTTATTATACTAGAAAAACAAATTACACACATGCAGGGCCGAGACAAGGGGTGGGCGAGATTCATCTGTTCAGCTTTTCCTTCATTGTGCCCCTCTCCAATGTTGTTAAAACTCTCTTCCCTCTCTCTGACTCTGTACTGCCTTCCTATTACTGTGCCTTTTCTTTGTCCCCTCTGCTTCAGGGCTTCTCTTCTCCACTAAAATATAATCTCCTGTGCTTGAGTGTGGATTTTTAGGGCATATGGGACTTTCCGCTTATCCAGCTTATAGGTAAAGTGCATTGGGCTCTGAGAAAGTTGGCTTGCCCCTTGAAGCGCGTTTGTGAACGCTGAAAGCTCTTCCCAAGCCATCAGTTGAGTGCTGTGGACCTGGAGGCAGTCTCACGATACGTTAATTTATGCAATGTTTTTGTGTATAAATTACTTGTTTTTACTATCTAATAAAATTGTGTAATCGAAATGCGCTAAGATGGTGCGCCCTCTCTTTATTGTTGCTTTTCTCTTCTCCACTACCATGACCCTATTAACTTGTGAGCCATTCTTCACTGCCGTGGCTTCTCTCCACCAGTTTTTCACTTCTCTTTCTCTTACAGTATGCCCTATTAATTTATATATAAAATACTATACACATCTTCCACTGCATTTTATTATAAAAAAAAGTAGCTGTGCCTCTGGGTTTATTATTGTAATATTATTATTTTTTATACAGGATTTATATAGTGCCAAAAGTTTGCAGCACTTTACAATATAAAGGGAGACAATAGAGCAACAATACAGTTCAATACAAGAGGGTTAGGAGGTCCCTGCTCCTCGGAGCTTACAATCTAAGATAAGGCTGAACACAAAAACCAAGAGCAGGTCACACACAATACACAGGTACATTCAACCAGCACTTACACCATTATTCTAAGCATGTGAGAGACACACTACCAAGTGTAAAGCTGCCCTGGCACATCATGCAGCATTCACTCAGCACCCCAAGAAATAACAGAATCCAACTGCAGTATTCTTGCACTGTCAAAAAACCTCCACTTTTATTATCACACAACACACAGGAGAATATATCTTATAGTCATCACAATCTGCATAATAACACACACTAATAGGAATGTGAGTATCACAGCATGAAATAAACACATCTTTTGACAGCATCACAGCATAGAATTAATACATTACCAAAGCTATGGAAAGAAGGAAGAGACTTCATCAAAACCATAGTGCACAGCAGATCATGGAGAAGCCTAGGACACAATCGAGACCAATGAGTCCATGCAGCCTTGGCAAAAGTCTCAGCGTCAGAGCATCCCCTTTCACACGGGAGGGCTTCTGATCTCATCATGTCCAGGCCTCTCTTAAATATCCTGGTTCAGTGCTTCTGGCCATATTCCCAAAATGGGCGGCGCCCTTTACCCATTCCAAGAAATGTTTACGCAAAAACACCAAAAGGGTTTCTTGAGGTAACAGAGTCACACCCAGTCACTTTACTGGACAAACAACTCTTTATCTAATACCCCCAATCCTAATGTCACAAACCAGTAAATTTTTCTAACTACATAAACAACTTCTTATTTTTTCTAACTTAAACATTTCTTAAATGTGCAAACAAGTTCACTCACAAACAACTCTTATCTAATTTAAGCAGTTCTAATGTCTTGTGACTCTGTAAGTTTCCCTTAGCCTAGAAAATGACATCAATGTCATTCCCAGTGCTTCTGGCATATGGGCAGCGATGCTTTATTGTATCCCCCAAGAAACAAAGGGCCCAGGGCTAGCACATTTCATAGGCATTACAATTATTCATTCTCTGGTGCATTACTGTATGATACCTCTAAATTATGGTTT